CGGCAGGCCCACGGCGCCCCGCGGGCCAGCCGGGCAGTCGCGGCCCCCGCACGGGCACCCGCGGGCGGCTCAGCACCGGCGCGGCGCAGAGGAGCCGCGGGCAGCGGCTGGCCGCCGGGCGACATGGCAGGGCGGACAGGCCGGCCTCGCGCACCTGCGCACAGTGCTGCCGCTGGCGGCAGGACACCGTGCACGATCCGAGGGCTGTCTCCGACCTGACTCATCCAAAGACCGGCTTGGGCAAAAAAATGGCACCGTGCGGCGGTGGCGGGAGAGCTGGACTGCTAGTTCGCATAACTACAGTCTGTCTCGGAGCCATCAGCCTCATCATCATCCGCGTCATCCTTGCCATGATCATCATCAGCAGCAGCATCAACATTAGACTGATCCTCACCCTCATCTTCATTACCCGAAGCATTCTCATCCTCATCGTCACCATCAGCATCACCATCAGCATGTACAACACCATCACCATCATCACTATCACCACCAGCACCAGCATCAGCATCAGCATCAGCATCAGCATCAGCATCAGCATCAGCATTAGCATCAGCATCAGCATCATCATCAGCATCGTCAGCATCATAATCATCATCATCATCATCATCATCATCATCATCATCATCATCATCATCATCATCAGCATACTCATCATCATCAGCATCATCATCATCATCATCGTCATCATCATCATCATCATCATCATCATCATCATCATCATCATCATCACCACCATCATCAGATTTCCCTGCTAATCCTCCTTCTCCACCTCCTGATCTCGTCCATCTCATTTCGTCCCTCTCCAGATCGCCTTTGTGTGGTCCAGAGTCCTCCGGGCGAGGGGGGCTGCGAGGCGGTCAGACCAAGAGCGCCGGTTTCGGACGTGGGGACGGGGGGGCAAGAGGCGGGGGGGGAGACAAGGGAGGGGAAGGGACAAGCTAGGTGCGCTCACGTCATATCTGACAACCTACCCCTCCCTCCCAGCCCTTCCCATGGCGTAGATCTCCTCTCTATTCGCACAATCGGAAGACGTAGCATGGCATAGCATTACATGGCATAGCATGGTGTTGAAGACGAACGCGTAGCCAGACATAGCATGGCGTGGCGACGCTCCAAAGTGGGGGGGGGGGGTTCTGCGGCCCAAGAAATCAACGAATCGACACCGAATGTGGAATCACTTCCGATGGTTTCTTCGGGAGGCCATTTTTTAGATTTTGGGACCTCTTTGAGGGACCGAAAAACATGCCGTGGCATGGTGCTGGAAATAATGACGCCAGCGCTAGCGGGAGCACGATTCGGAACGAGAACAAGCGCGGAGATGAGGCCAGCGCTGCAGCGGGATCACGATTCGGAACGAGCGGTAGCCCGAAAATGAGGCCAGCTCTTAAGCGAGAGCAGCACTTCCAAAAAAATCCAGGAAAAAAACCAGTTCCCGGGAATCCTCTGCGCAAAAAACCTATACGCGGACGGGGAAGGGGAAAGAAGGGGTGCAGGGGAGCAGCAGAGGGGAGGAGAAGGGCGCAAGGGAGCACGGGGTGGGGGAGGAAAAAGGAGTCATGATGATGATGATGATGATGATGATGATGCTGATGCTGATGCTGATGCTGATGCTGATGCTGATGATAATGATGATCATCATGATGATGGTGATGATGACGATGATGATGATAATAATGATGATACTGCTGCTGCTACTTCTGATGATGACGATGATTATGATGATAAGTGTGATGGTGGTGGAGATGATGATATTGTTGTTGATAATGATAATGATGGTGATGATGACGATGATGATGATGTTGTTGATGATGCTGCTGATGATGATGCTGATGATGATGGTAATGATGATGGTGATGATGATAGTGATGCCGATGCCGATGACGACGATGATTATGATGATGATGAGAATGATGATGATGATGATGATGATGATGATGATGATGGTGATGATGATGGTGATGGTGATGGTGACGATGACGATGACGATGACGATGACGACGACGATGATGATGGTGATGATGGTGATGATGATGATGATGGTGATGGACATGAGGATGGGGATGAAGCTGATTAAAATGGTGGTGATGCTGATGATGCTGATGATGATGATAGTGATCATGATGGCGATGGTGATGGTGATGGTGGCCGTGTCGGCGGTGGTGATGATGGTGGTGATGATGATGGTGCTGATGGTGCTGATGAGGGGGATGGTGATGGTGATGGTGATGGTGATGGTGATGATGATGATGATGGTGATGGTGATGATGGTGATGATGACGATGACGATGACGTCGGCGTCGTCGTCATCAGCATCGTCGTCGGAGGAGGCTTTCCATCGCTCGGACGCCCGTTCCCCGTGCCGCGGGTCGGCTTCTCGCGTGCATGCTTTTGTGCTCGGCGGTCCAGGATGCTCCTCGAGGGCCCTCGCCGAGAAAGAAAACTGCGCACGTCCGAGCGATGCTGCGGGGAGCCCCTCGGCGCCGAGGCCCGCCCTGCTCGGCAGCGGCGCGCGAGGCCGTGCGGGGCCCGCCGCGAGCCGCGGGGCGCGCCTGGCGGCGGCGCGGGCGCGAACACTCCCGAGGCGCAAGGGCGGGCCTCTGCCTGAGGGGCGCGCGCGGGGTGCCACGAGCGAGGCGTCCAACGCTGGAAGAAAACAACACAAAAAACACACACTGTGGGAAAAACACACACAAAAAAAACAACAAAAACACACACACACACACACACACACACACACACACACACACACACACACACACACACAAAACACACACACACACAAAACACACAAAACACACAAACAAACACACAACCCCCCCCCAAAAAAAAGCACGGCGTGTTTTTTGTGTGTGATTTTTCCCACAGACGCACAGGGAAAGACCAATGCTGGATGCCCTCCTCGGAGGCGCGCGTCCGGCCCGAAGGGATAGCAGACCCATCTCGTCGCAGATCGCTTCCCGGGCCGTGTGGCCAGAAGGCGCCCGCCACGACGCAGGCACCAAGCAGACTCAGCGGGGCGCGCGTCGCCCCCGAGGGGGGGGGGCGACGCACAGACAGCTCGTGAGCATGCTGGGGCGACGCCGACCACGTGCGGCGCGCTCGAGGCCCTCCGCGGCCGCGCCGCGAGTGAGGGCCGGCAGCAGGCTGCCCCCACTCCCCGCCGCGACGAGCGCGGTGGCGCCACCCGCCTGCGAGCCCTGCGAGCGGCGCCCCTCCGCAAGGCGTGCCCACAGGCCGTGGGGCCGCCGCGCAGCTCCTCCTCATCCTCCTCCACCTCCTCCTCCTCTTCCTCCTCCTCCTCTCCGTCCTCCTCCTCCTCCTCCTCCTCCTCCTCCTCCTCCTCCTCCTCGTCTCCTCCTCCTCCTCCTCCCTTCCTCCTCCTCCTCCTGCTCCAGGGCTGGGCGCCGACGTCGGCGCGCCGGGAGGCCCGCCTGCCGGCGCGCCCGGCGAGGCGCCGGGCCTCGCGCGGGGCGGAAGCCGTCCCGGCGGCGAGAGCAGAGACGATCCGCACCACCCTCGCGCGGGGCCCGGGGGGGGGTGCTCCTGGCGGCGCCGTCCCCCCGATTGGCGCCGCCCCGCTCGAGACGTCTCCGGTCTCCAGGTCGGAGGGGCATCGCGGACCTCCCCGGATACCCGACGACGCGACGGAAAGCACAACACCGTGAAAACTCACGACCGATGCCCCAAACCCCGGCGGCGGCCCTGCAGGCCGCCACCTGCGCGCCAGCTGCAGTCGCGGCGGTGCGGCGGCGCGAGCGTGTCGCCCTGGCCGCCTCGCGGGCCAGGCAGAGTGGCGCTCTGCTCTTGGTGGGTCCGTCACGCGGCGCTGCGTGGTCGTCATGGCCTCCCACCACCTCGGCACGGCAGCGGCGGAAGCGCGAGCCCCCCTCGACCCCAGGAGGGAGGAGCGAAGAGCCAGAAGGGAGGAGAGGGGAGGGGAGAGGATCGGCGGCGAGCGAAGGGGGGAAGTGAGGAGGAGGAGGAGGAGGAGGAGGAGGAGGAGGTCTTCTCAGCAGGCTCAGAAGTCCTCTGGCCTTCTGAGAAGTTTACTGAGCCTTTTTCCGAAGAAACACAAAACCTTTCAGAAGCGCGAGGGCTTCTGAGAAGTCCCGCCACCTTCTGAGAAGACCTCTTCTCCTTCTCACTTCCCGCCCCCGCTCGCCGCCGAGAGGAGGGGCGAGAATGAAAACGCCACCGACCTCCGTCGGCGATGTGGCCAGGAAGGGTGCCGTTCCGTCGCACGGGGACGCGGAACAGAAGCACGCCGGGCGACCCGCGGGCCTAGGCGGCATCAGGGCCGGGGAGGGCAGCGTCCCTCAAGACTTGGCCATGGCACTATGCTTCCAACCTCGAACGCTGCATATCACCGCGGCCATGCTGCGCCGCATCGTGAGACAGAGGAGCGGATGGATGGCGTTAAATCTCTCGACGCCGCACGCTGCCTCCAACGAGGACCGAGGATCCAGGATCGAGGGAGCAATGAGGGCCGAGGGCGGAGGGCGAGGAGATCGAGTCGGCCATGGCACGATGCCCGATGCAAGAGGAGACCGTGCCGGACTCGTCGCTGCGAAGGTCGCCAGACTTCGCGCTCGGCACTCCGCGCTGCGCAGGGACCCCCCGTCTTCGACGCGCGCGCGTCCCCGCGGACAGCAGCAGCGCGAGCGGCTCCAGGCCTAGCTGCACAAGGAGAAGCAAATCTCCTCCTCCTCCTCCTCCTCCTCCTCCGCCTCCTCCTCCTCCTCCTCCTCCTCCTCCCCCTCCTCCTCCTCCTCCTAGTACTCCTCCTCCTCCTCCTCCTCCTCCTCCCTCCTCCTCCTCCTCCTCCTCTCCTCCCTCCTCCTCCTCCTCCTACTCCTCCTCCTCCTCCTCCTCCTCCTCTCCTCCTCCTCCTCCTCCTCTCCTCCTCTTCCTCCTCCTCCTCACCCTCCGCCTCCCTCCTCCTCCTCCTCCCCTCCTCCTCCTCCTCCTCCTCCTCCTCCTCCTCCTCGATCCCCCGCCACCATCCGGCGCAGGGGGGTCCTCACAAAGGCGTCCCGCATGTCCGACATCAGCAGGCTGAGGCAGAAGAACGCGTCCGCCTCCGCGGCGGCCGCGCCGCCCTGCACGGGGTCCTCCAAGGCGGGGCGCGGCGCGGCTTCCCTCGGCGCCGCCGTCGGCATCGGCGTCGGCGACGGTGTCGACGTCGACGTCGACGTCGACGAGGTTTAGGTGGAGGGGGGAGGAGTGCGGTGGAGGGAGGAGGAGAACGGAGGAAGAGGAAGAGGAAGACGAAGAGGAAGACGAAGAGGAAGAGGAAGAGGAAGAGGAGGGAGAGGAGGAGGAGGAGGAGGAGGAGGAGGAGGTGAAGGGGGAAGACGAGGAGGAGGAGGAGGAGGAGGAGGAGGAGCAGCAGGAGGAGGAGCAGCAGCAGCAGGAGGAGGGGAGGGCTACAGCAGCAGGAGCAGGCGCGAAGGGAGGACCGGGGAGGAGGAGGAGCCGTGGCTCCTGGAGAAAGGGGGATGGAAGGAGCAGAGGGAAGCGGGAGGGGAGGAAGGGAGAGGGGAGGAGGGGGGAGGGGGAAGGAAGGGGGAAGGGGCAGAGGCAAGGGGAAGGGGAGGAGCAGGAGCGGGAGGGAAGGGGAAGGAGAGACCGAGGGGGCGGGAGCAGATGCGAGGAGGGCGAAAGAAGGGGAAGGGCAGAAGGAGGAAGAGCAAGGGGAGGAGCAGGAGGAGCAGGCGGAGGAGCAAACGGAGGAAACGGAGGATCCGCAACATCAGTGACAACGGCAGCGAAGGGAATGACGAAGACGACATATACTCAACAACTACACAGTATGATTACTACTACTGCCTCCTCTATGCCCCGATAATGTCTAGTGTATGGGGTCTCCTGATCCTCTTCCTTCTACAATGTACAAACCTCCCCCTTGTGCTCGCGCATCACACGATGGGGATTGCCTGGGGTATGCACAAGAATTCAGCGCAATAGCAAGGAATGAGTGAGAGGGGTATGGTGTCAGACATGGCGCGACCCTCCTCTTCCCTCTCCCCCTTGCCTGGGGTATGCACAAGAATTCAGCGCAATAGCAAGGAATGAGTGAGAGGGGTATGGTGTCAGACATGGCGCGACCCTTCTCTTCCCTCTCCCCCTCTCCCTGAAGTTGCATTTCCTCGCTTTTTCGTTTGCCTCCTCCTCAGCCTCATCACCAGCAGCAGCAGCATCATCATCATCATCAGCAGCAGCAGCAGCATCAACATCAACATCAACATCATCAGCATCAGCATCAGCATCAGCATCAGCATCATCATCATCATCATCATCATCATCATCATCATCATCATCATCATCATCATCATCATCATCATCATCATCATCATCATCATCATCATCATCATCATCATCGATCATCATCATCATCATCATCATCATCATCATCATCATCATCATCATCATCCATCATCATCATCCATCAGCCATCATCATCATCAGCATCATCATCATCATCATCAGCATCAACATCATCAGCAACAGCAACTCAGCAGCATCAGCATCATCATCGTCATCATCATCACCATCGTCGCACATCATCACATCATCATCAGCAGCATCAGCATCAGCATCAGCATCATCAGCATCAGCATCAGCATCAGCATCATCATCATCAGCATCATCATCATCATCATCATCATCATCATCATCATCATCATCATCATCATCATCATCATCATCATCATCATCCGTCCGCTCATCGTTCTCACTTCCGTGTAGATTAGCCGTATTCTCCTCCCCCCCCATCATCAGATGGTCGTCATCATCCTTTTCCTTCTTATACACACCCTTTTGAATCGCCCTGCTGGTACACTTCCTACTCCTCCTCGCTCTCCCCCCCCCTCCTCCCGCTCCCACTTCTCATCATTCGTCCCGTCTACCATAGTCCTCGCCCTCGCCGTGTTTCACGTCTGCCGTCCCTATAATTCTCCGTCTCCTCATCCTCGGGCTCGGTTTCAACTCGCGCAAACCATTCTCGCCACCGCCAGCCTCTCAGTTCCACCGATCTGCCACAACCTCACGGGCGTCCTGTGCGAAGACGTAGTACAGCGGCGCACACAGCTCGTTCATCCCCTTCGCTGGAAGGAGGCCGAAAGTTGACGAAGAGCAGGAGGACGGTAAGGAATGGCGCGGATTCGACGTTGGGTTCAGTGGCGGGCGTCCCTTCGGTAAAACGCCTGGGGCAGGACTACACACGTGTTCTGGACGTGCACCCCCCGAAGCGAGATGAATCTAAAGATCAGACATTCGAACAGATCTAGCGGCTGGACGGATAGAAAGCGGCTTCTTGTCAAAATAGGGATATCACTTGCGACTTCCACGAAATTCATGACCGGAAGCGTAACATCGTGAAACAGTTACACGGATAGTGGCGGTCATTTATCGAAACGGAAATATCGCTGGACAACACGCTCAAACGTATGACCATACCGTTTCGCATTCCTTTCCCTTCGCAGGAGGTTGTAAGGCAACTCCTTTTCAAAGCGGAGCTCTCGCCTGAATGGAAGGTCCATACTGAGGGTGTTGGTCTTCGGGGGGGGGGGGGGGGGGCGCTTCTTGTGGGCGGATGCCTCAAGGTTTCGGGGAGCGGGCCCGCACCCATTGCTGGCATCTTAACCTGAAACTGCGTGGAGCCTGGCCCACGATCTGGCGGAAAGCTGCCCGGCTGCTCTCGGGGGGGCCATCTCCCCCGCCTCTCCACGAAGTGCACGAGAATGGGGTAAGCCCCCAAACAGTCGAGTCGAGCAACTCTTCTTCCCTCCTCCCTTTGGGGTGCTCCAGGGCGGACGGCCTGCACGTACTGTACGCCCGGATTGAGGCGCGCGTACACCAGGAGCACGCGCGCCACGACGTCGGTATGGCGGCAAGGATCGTGGACGTTGAGGGTCTCCTGGGGTCAGCCTGCCCCTCCCTCCCTCCCTCCCACCCCTCCCTCCCCTCCCTCCCTCACTCCCTCCCTCCCTCCCTCCCTCCCATCCCTTATCTCCCTCCCTCCCTCCCTCCCTCCCTCCCTGCCTCCCCCCCGGGCCGACATTCCCCCCACCCCGGTGCCGGCGCTCACTCCCAGGTGCCGGCCCCTCCTCCCTGGTGCCAGCACCTCCTCCTTCTCCTCCTCATCCTCCTCTCCTTATTATTATTCTTATTATTCTTATTAGTATTATTCTTCTTATTATTATTCTTATTACTATTCTGATTATTATTATTCGTATTATTATTAATAGTATTACTACTATTAGTATTATTAGTATTATTATTAATATAAGTAATAGTATTATTATTAGTATTAACATTATTATTACTGATATTATTATTACTACTATTATTATTATGATTAATATTATTATCAAAAATACTAGTATTATCATTATGATTATTCGTATTCTTATTGTTAGTATTCTTATTATTATTACTCTTACTATTATTAGTAGAATGAGTATTCATATTATTATTACTATTATTATTATTACTATTATTATTAATATTATGATTAGCATTATTAATCGTATTCTCATTATTCTTCTTATCATTAGTGTTCGTCTTATTTTTCCTCTTACTATTATTCTTATTATTAGTAGTTTCCTATTAGTAGTATTATTAGTATTAGTATTAGTATTCGTATTCGTATACTTATTATTCGTAGTATTACTATCCTTAGTATACTTCTTAATAGCATTATTATTATTTTTATGTTTCTTACTCTTAGTATTATGAGTATTCTTATTATTCTTATTATTATTCCTCCTCCTCCTCCTCCGCCTCCTCCTCCTCCTCCTCCGCCTCCTCCTCCTCTACCTCATTCCTCTTCCTCCTCTTCCTCCTCCTCCTCTACCTCATCTACCTCCTCCTCCTCCTCCTCCTCCGCCTCCTCCTCCTCCTCCTCCTCCTCCTCCTCCGCCTCCGCCTCCTCCTCCTCCTCCACTTTCCAAGCCCGCATTACTATCACCACCAGCATCACCATCACCCTCACCCTCACCCTCACCATCACCATCACCATCATCATCACCATGATCATCATCATCATCATCATCATCACCACCACCACCACCACCATCATCATCAGCAGCAGCAGCATCAGCATCATCATCACGATCAGCATCATCAGTATCATCCTCCTCATCATCATCATCATCATCAGCATCATCAGCATCATCACCATCACCATCATCATCATTGTCATCGTCATCGTCACCACAACTGTCATCATCATCATCATCATCATCATCATCATCATCATCATCATCATCATCGTCATACTCATCATCATCATCATCACCATCACCATCACCATCATCATCATCATCATCATCATCATCATCATCATCATCATCATCATCATCATCATCATCATCATCATCATCATCATCATCATCATCATGATTATCATTGGTCGTCCGTTGTCGTCGTCATCGTCCATTCCGACACGCATCAGGAGCGCCCCGGATCGGCGGCACTGGCTGGAGGACACTACAATAGTAAAAATCGTCCCCTGACAATTTTCTGTTTTTCATGAAACCTCCCCCTCTAGAGGGACACGCCCGACTTAACCCTACACTCCCGTCCGCGGTGCGGTCTGACCGAACTCCGCGGCGGATCCAGCCGCGGCTTGGCCACGGTGGCGCCCAAAGGGGCGTCGGGGGACCACGCTCGAGTGGGGACGCCCTCCGACCCCCCGAGCTGCGAGGGGGCGGGGGCGCGCGGGCCCCGAGGCCGAGGCCGAGAGAGACAGGGCCGAGGCCGAGGCCGAGGCCGAGGCCGCGGCGCCGGGGCGCCGAGGCCGAGCCCGGGCGCCCGAGGCCGAGGCGGCCGAGAGGCCACCGGCCGAAGGCCACGGGCCAGAAGGCCCGAGGGCCACAGGGCCGAAGGGCAAACCGGGCGAGGCCGAGGGGCGGCCGCCGCCGAGGCCGCGGCGCCGGGGGCCGAGGCCGAGGAGGGCCACAGGCCAGAGGCCACGGGCCACAGGGCCAAGGCGCAAAGAGTGCGAGGCCAAGGGGCGGCCCCGGCCGAGGCCGAGGCCGGGGGCCGAGGCCGAGCGCGGCTCCTCGTCGCTCCCCGCCGCGCCGCCGCCCGCGGGCCCGCCAGCGGCGCCCGCGTCGCCGGAAGGGCCGAGGCGCCGCGCGAAGAAGTCCATCTCCGCGCGCGTGCGGAAGATGTCCTGCGCCGCGCGGCGGGCCCAGCGGGAGCCCCAAGAGGGCCCCAGGAGGGTCCCAACATGTTCCTCCTCCTTCTCCTCCATCCCACTTCCATACAAACAACTCCTCCCTGTCGCACCCCGAGACGAGTCGGTAGGGCGGGCTGGGCGTTTCGCCTGAGGCTTCCTCACAATTTGTTGCGCTGAAACTTTGAATGTGCAACAAGTTCACGGATGGAGATCGGGCCGTTTCACAAAAATGTGGCTCTCGCCTTAACGCCGCGCACCTTCATCTTAAAAGTTTGCAAGAGCGTCACGGGTGGAGGGCGGGTCATCTTCAGAACGTGGCTCTCGCATTAGCGCCGCGCATATTCGCCTTGAATGTGAGCAAGAGCTTCACGGATGGAGGGCGTGCCGTTTTCGAGATGTGGCTCTCGCCTTAGAGCCGCGCACCTTCGCCTTATCAGTGAACAACAGCTGCAAGGACTATCATAGCTGCGGTCCCAGAAACGATGTTCTGGCAGAAATTCCGATTGTTAGGGCGCGACATTCACGGTGATGCGCGGCGTCAGTCCCAACAATTGTTCTGACGCGATTCAGGACGCAGTAGTAACGTTGATTCGCGGCGTTGATGTCCCAGGAATGCTGCTCTGGCCTGGATAGAGGTGTTCAAACGGTTGTCGTCCAACGGTGCATTTCCCGCAGTGAAATAAAATCCTTGTAGGGGCCTGCGGGCGGGGGAGCGCCGACGGCAGGCGGTACCACCCCCGCGGAACTCGACAGCTAACTCACGTGGAGTTTTGTTAGATGCCGTTGCCAAGCTCCTCCTCCTCCTCCTACTCCTCCTCCACCTCCTCCTCCTCCTCCTCCTCTACGCCTCCTCTCCTCCCCCTCCTCCTCCTCCTCCTCTCCTCCTCCTCCTCCTCCTCCTCCTCCTCCTCCTCCTCCTCCTCCTCCTCCTCCCCTCTCCTCCTCTCCTCCCCTCTCCTCCTCCTCCTCCTCCTCCTCCTCCTCCTCCTCCTCCTCTCCTCCTCCTCCTCCTCCTCCTCCTCCTCCTCCTCCTCCTCTCCTCCTCCTCCGCCTGCCTCTCCTCTCCTCCTCCTCCTCCTCCTCCTCCTCCTCCTCCTCCTCCTCCCCCCCTCCTCCTCCTTCCCTCCTCCTCCTCCTCCTCCTCCTCCTCCTCCTCCCTCCTCCTCCTCTCCTCCTCCTCCTCCTCCCCTCCTCCGCCTCCTCCTCCTCCTCCTCCTCCTCCTCCTCCTCCTCCTCCTCTGCCTCCTCCTCCTCCTCCTCCTCCTCCTCCTCCTCCTCCTCCTCCTCTCCTCCTCCTCCTCCTCCTCTCCTCCTCCTCCTCCTCCTCCTCCTCCTCCTCCTCCGCCTCCTCCTCCATCCTCCGCCTCCTCCTCCTCCTCCTCCTCCCTCCTCCTCTTTCTCCCCCCCCCTCCTCCTCCTCCTCCTCCTCCTCCTCCTCCTCCTCCTCCTCCTCCTCCTTCTCCTCCACCCTCCTCGGCGTGAAAAAAACACCCAGATCCAACATAACCTACCGCACGCCCTGGACGTATCCACTCTGCTGGGGGTCGGCGGAATGGCGTAAGCCACCTGGATGTGGCTTTCGATCCATCAACGCCAACGCGGAGCTGCTCGCGGCTCACTCAAGCCAATCCTGTCCCTTCCTGAGCTATGCCGCGCGTGCCGCCAAAAAGGCCTGTCCAGTCAAGGCACGCCTGAGACGTGAACCTGCCCGTCTGCCCATGTGTCGGCGGCGAGGGAGGGGGGAAGTGAGAAGGGGCGGGCCCTCTCAGAAGGCTCGGAAGTTCCCTGGCCTCCTGAGAAGCCTTCTGACTCTCCCCCCAGGACACCAGCCACCTTTCAGAAGGCCCGGGGGCTGCGGAGAAGTCCGGCCGCCTTCCGAGAAGGCCTCCGCCTTCCCAGTTCCCCCCCCTCGCGCGCCGCCGAATGTGGGCCTCGAGAGGGCCCCGGAAGTGCTCGGCATGGGGGGCCTGCGTGGGTCGCCCCCGCCCGCGGAGGGGAGGCGCCCCTGGGCGGCGTGCTCTCTCGCCCTGGCCCGCACCAGGGAGGAGGAGGAGGAGGAGGAGGAGGAGGAGGCGGAGGAGGAGGAGGTCGAGGAGGAGGAGGAGGAGGAGGAGGAGGAGGAGAGGCCACCGAGGGCGGCAGAGACGGCCTCAGAAGATGGACCTGCGGGGCGCCCCGAGGTGTCCCGGGAGGGCACCACGGGCGGCAGGCACGGCGACCTGGCAGGAGGGGCGGGGGGGCCCAGAGATCCAACGCACGGAAGAGCTCCAGACGGAGGCCCGTCGCCGTCCTCGGCCCCTGGGGGGGCCTCGCCGGGCCCCGGGGCCGCGGAAAGACGATGCGGGGGGAGAGGCCAGTCCTGGGGAAGGGGTCGAGGCTTCCAGGACAAAGAATCGAGAGACGTCGGATCTCTGGGGAGGGGAGCGCTAGGAGGATGATCACGACTGTGGCTCCCTTGCCGTTCGGCTGAAATCGCTGGCTCTCCGGGAGCGCCCTCGTGGCCGTTCGGCTGGATCCCCCGTCTCGATTCTGGCAGGAGCGCACCCCCTGGAGTGGTCTGGGGTCCAATCTCGACGGAGGGGGGCCAGACCTTGCGCGCAACCCCAGGAAGGGTCCAGGGTCCGATCTTGAAGAAGGGGGGGCAGACCCCTTGGGGGGGAGGGCAGCGAGAGCCGGGCGGAGGAGGGGCAGGAGCTGCGGCCGATGGTTCGTGAGCAGAAGGGAGACGGATGCGGAGGAGGGCGAGGAGGATGGCAGGGGGGCGGCCCCCCCCGTCGTCGCCCCCATGGCCTGCACCCTCCGCGCGGGGGGGGGGCACGCTGCGGCACAGCTCGGGGGAGGCACCGGCCCGACTGGGCGAGGGGGGCGCAGCGACTCCGATGCGGGGAGCGGGGCCCCGTCGCCAATGCACACGCCTCAACCCGTGCGAGTTTCCTCGATCCCTCCGCGTCGTCCTCCCCTCGTCCCTCCTCGCCCTGCCCCGCAGGCTCGCGGGAGCCGCCCCCGCGCGCGGGGGGAGGACGACAGGGGCGAGGATGGCGAGGACGCAGAGGACAGCGCGCAGGGTAAGGACAAGGACGAGGACGAGGACGAGAACGACAAGGACGACAAGGACGACAAGGACGACGACGACGACGACGACGACGACGACGACGACGACGACGAACACGACGAACACGACGAAAACGACGAACACGGCGAACACGACGAACACGGCAAACACGATGAACACGGCGAACACGACGAGCACGACGACGACTTGAGGTTTTCGAAGGCCCCATTGGTTTTCACATGTTCCCAGCGGTCAGACGTTTCCGGCGGTCATCTCATGGATTAAAAAAGTTCTGGAGGTTTTCGGCGCGGATGTGTTCGAAGTTTTGCGGAGGGGTCGCAGGCTTTCTCTGGCGTTCGGAGGTTTCCGAGTGCGTTCGGCGGTGGTCGATGGTTTCTGTTTTCGGGATGTCCGGCGAGTCTGCAGTGGCTCTCCGTCTCGTCCTCGTCCTCCGCGCGGCCGCCCCAGTCCGCTTCCCCCTCCTGCACGCCGGCCACTTCGCCCCTCGGTCGCGCCGAGTCGCCACCCGCTGGAGCAGCTCCCCTGCCTCGCCGCGCACAGACAACAAGAAATGCTCGGCGACTCTGGGAGGGACTCCGCGGTTCTCAGCGCCCCGACCCGAACGTCGCGGCGGGTCCCGCCGTGGCCCCGCGAGAAAGCCAGAGGAGCCTCCGAGAGTCTCCGGGCCTCGAGCCTCGAGCGGCAGCCCCCGGAGCATGTGCTCCGTCCAGAGCTTGGGGGGCGGCTCCAGCCGTGGCGCCGAGGGCGCACCTGGAGGCCTCCTCCTCCTCCTCCTCCTCAAACTCCTCCTCCCTCCTCCTCCTCCTCCTCCTCCTCCTCCTCCTCCTCCTCCTCCTCCTCCTCCTCCTCCTCCTCCTCCTCCTCCTCCTCCTCCTCCCCCTTGTCCACCTGCTCCCTCTTCGAGGAACCCCAAAGGCAACCCTGGAGGCGGCACGGCGACCAAGAACCGACGGCGACCGAGCCTTGGTTCAAACACCTCGACGAAAAGGCTCGCCCCGACGGCGACGTCGACGGCGAACACGGTTGAAGGGCAGCGTGAGGGGGGGGACCAGCCAGGGGAAACATCGACCAGGAATCGGCCATGCATCGCCGGTAAATCGGCGACGGGGCTTCGATAGCGGATCTGCCCAGTCCTGGGCAGGCTGGGCTATCGGGCCCCTTTCGGCGATGAGTGGGCGATTGGGAGTCCATGCATCCCCCTCCTCCTCCTCCTCCTCCTCCTCCTCCTCCTCCTCCTCCTCCTCCTCCTCCTCCTCCTCCTCCTCCTAACGTCGGAGGAGGAGGAGGAGGAGGAGGGACGAGGAGCCTGTCCCCCGTAAAGTTGCCCCCTGGCCTTCGGGTCGCACCTCGGCCCCC